CACACACACACACACACACACACACACACACACACACACACACACACACACACAAAGCGCTAACAGACTCGGTTGGATGTAAAAATTCAGACAAATTCATTCGTGGTTACGCAATCGCACACCAACAATACTCACACACACACACACACACACACACACACACACACACTCACACACACAGAGACACACACACACACACACACAAAGTCAGCGGAGGTTACAGTCGCACAAGGACACACACACAGTTCAACTTCAGATCACATCATGTGTAACAGGAGAACATTCAAAATGTAAAATTCACTTCTAATAAACTCTTATTATAATAATTACAATAACAAGTGATTAATTCTAGAATATATCAAGTATTATATGAGATTTACGCTTAAATGTACATTAAAATTGTGCATATTTTACATATATTTAATGTTAAAAACATACAGTTTACCTTTAAAAGACTGTAAAATCGTTGGTTCTGAACATCTATAATAACCACGATCATAAACTCTTGATTTTGTCGAGTGTAATTTGATGTTTACATTTTAATTTACATAAAAAATGTTGCATGTTTGACAAATACTTGATGTTGAAACCTGTAAAAAAAATCATTTCCATTAAACATAAAATAACAAATTATAATAATAAGTGATTATTTTTAGATTATATCGAGTGTAATATGAGATTTATGCATAAACTTACAGAATTTTTTTGTATATTTGACAGATTTTTCATGTGAAAACTGAAGCCACCGATAAAAAGCTGGACTTATGTTTTAATGTAAAAATCTTTGATATTTGATGGTTTAAAAAAAAAAAATACAGGCGTCAACGTATTAGAACTTTACTAAACAGTCATGATGATTATAACAATTATAAATACATATTTATAGATTATCTCAAATGTAAAATGAGATTTACATGTAAATCTACAACAAAAACTTAATTTGAAAAAACAACTTTGAAAGAATTAGGAGTTATAAAACGACAACGAACTTTTAGCTTTAGATCCTATTTTAGGTTTTTACGTGATAATTTACACGAAGGTTACGTAAATCACTGATAAAACAAACAGATTTACGTTTGAAATAAAAACAGCAGCAATTAAACACAATGAACCGTTAATGTTCATCATGTCGGCTGTAAACTGAGATTTTAAGCTAAAACCGTGTAAACTTACAGATAGTGTGTTTATCTGACGTATTTTTAACGTTAAAAACGTACATTTTACAGATTTTAAACATGAAAAAACGTACGTAGAGCAGAAACATTTACAGATTTACAGTTATTAGCACGTCTGATTAAAGTTTTTAATCACAGTAGTTGATCTGAATTTAATCTTAATATTAATCAGCTCTTCATTTTTGTCTTTTTTGTGTAAGTTTACAATAAGATCATGTCTATTTGTTCGATCTTTACACTGATGAAAATAAAACCAAAGCTGTTAAACGTTTACTAGAATAATTAATTTGCTGTTTCATGTTAGAAAATATAAACCAGCAGCTCCAGACTCTTCAACAACAACTACGACGACCAGTTTAGCGTCACTCTGAGGCCTGAGCGTGACTCTGTGTGGTTTCACCTTCCATGGCGTCGGTCAGGTAGCTGGCGGCGCTCAGAGCTCGTCCCCGCCGCTCCGAGTCCTGCGTGGACGAAGGCCGCGGCAGCAGCATCGTGCTGAGCTCCGTGGTCGACGTCGGCACCTGAGACCAACAAAAACACTTTTAGTTCGACGCAGCGGCGACGAGTTCAGGCCTCAGAGGTCGACTTTTAGAGGCTTTTAGTTTTATCATAGAATCACAGAACGTGTCACCGTTGGGTGTCTTTACTTCAGCACAGCATCACTGATATGATCTGACTCCGATTTTTTCACTTTAACCGACTAGTTTAACATTTTGGGCTCAAAAACACACAAAAAATACAAAGTTTAATTTGAAAAGTATGTATTTACTACAACAAAAAGCACCAACGAAGCATTTAGAAGGTCACAGATACAAACATGAGAAGATCAATCTGGTATAAAACCAGTTTAATGCAGATATATGCAGCTACAGCATGACGCTTCTTCTTCATCTTTCCATCGATGCCACTCCTGGACACAGATTCTGTCCAGAACGAGGCCGACGGCCACATCAGGACTTTGTCGGCACTTCCAGGACCTTCTTTCATTTTTGTTTTGTAAAAGGACGGAAAAAAAAAAAAGAAGAAGCAGAAGTCTTGTTTGTTTGCCGTGTTGCGTCACATTCAGAGGATTTTCATCAACACAACTTTTTACATTTCGTTTTGTCTTCTGAACAAATGAAGTCTCTTAAACTTTGAGTCCTTCTGCGGACTGAAGGCTGTTTTTCTTCTGCCGGTCCGAGCTCTTGTTCCGTCATCACCAGTGTTGATCTGATCATTTCTAACTTTCAACTCATTTCTGACCGTGTTCAGTCGTTTCCTTTGAAGCTGATGTGATATCGGACCTTATTGTTCTCATTTCAGGCCATAAACTCAGGAATCGGTCCACATTCTGCCTCTCGGTTCGTCCTTCATGTCGTTGCTGCTTCTGTCTGTGAACGGAGACTTCAGGTCCAGACCCGGGACGAGTCCAGCTGCTGCTCACACAAGTTTCCTGAGTGGGAGTTCTGATGTTCTGATGTTCTGACGGTCCGCCAGCAAACAGGAAGCCGCTGCTCAGACGGGGGGGGGGCGCTGCTCGCTCTGTTGCCACGGAAACAGGACCACGGCAGCTAACGGAGGCTAAACTAGCGCCCGGCGGCGGCTGCGTCCCGACACACAGACGGCGAGTGGGCGTCGTCGTCGTCGTGGGCGGCGGCCTTCGGGCCCCGCGTCACGTCTCATTGGATGAAGCGTCACCAGGAAGCGTTACGCAACCACACCTGGGCCAATCGGGTCGGAGAGTCCCCGAGGACGCCGAGCGGCCGGACACGACTCCAGGAGGAAGTTTTGAACGTTCTCAGCAGCTGTTAACGAAAACTTTTGGATTCATTTACTGTGATTTTACGGATTTTCTCCGTTTTGTTCAGTTCCAGACGATTTTCAGTCACATCACAGAATCAAGAATGAATTTAATGTTTAAAACTTTAAATAATAAACATTAAAAATCTGTGGTTGGTTCTTCTGCAACATTTTATTTACATAAAAGAGCAGATTTTATTTTACAGGTAATTGCAATTTTTAAAGAAGTAAAATCATTACAAAAGATAATTTCTAGTAAAGCCGTTGAAAAAAATCTAATTAATTTAAACGTTAACCCTAAAAAATAAAACGTAAATATTATTTAAAATTCGTTTTCTGTTCAACTTCTTTTTAAAAATGTCACCGTGTTTAAATCAGCAGAAGCATCATAACTTTAAAGATATTTGTCATTTTTGTTTGATTTTTAAATTTTTTATCTACGTTTTTATTTCATTTATTGAGTTAAAACAGAACAACTAAACACGACACAAACATTTGTGACTAAACGGCAGCAGAAAGAAGAATAATCTGATGTTATCTGCGCCGTAACCCAAAGAAACACATTTACAAAAATATAAATTACAAAAAGCAATCATCATTTGAAAGAAAAATAAAATTTATTAATGGCAAAAGAAAAGTAAATAATTTTAAACTATTGTGACTAAATATTTTACTGAAAAAATATTAGTATTTTTAAAAATTTAAAAAAAAGACTAAAACTTGCAAAATCTACTAAATAAAATCTGTATTTTTACAAACAATAATTTGTAAAAATGATTAAGATGAGAGCACATTGTTTTATGAAATCATAATTATAATAATTTTACAGAAGTTTACTTTTTTCACTTTTTAAATGTAATATTTATTTTATTTTTGTATTTCTACGCATAACTTTCACTTTCTAAATATATTTTTTATA